CTGATACAAGATACAACGTTTATAATATGTCAAAATGAATCAAGCAAACTCAAACTTTTCCTCCAGACACTCAGTAAGAAAATATCCCTTCTCTATCTTACGCCTTCACACTATAACCCATCAAAAATGACTGTAGAAGAATGACACGCCCTTCGCCTTTCTGAAAACACCGCCTTCCCTTCCTCTGCCCCACAGTACATACATACATACATGCATGCATGCATTCATGCATACATACATACATGCATGCATGCATTCATGCATACATACATACATACATACATACATACATACATGCATGCATGCATTCATGCATACATACATACATGCATGCATGCATTCATGCATACATACATACATGCATGCATGCATTCATGCATACATACATACATGCATGCATGCATTCATGCATACATACATACATGCATGCATGCATTCATGCATACATACATACATACATACATACATGCATGCATGCATTCATACATACATACATACATACATGCATGCATACATGCATACATACATACATACATACATACATACATACATACATGCATGCATTCATGCATACATACATACATACATACATACATACATACATACATACATACATGCATGTATGCATTCATGCATACATACATACATACAGACATACATACATACATGCATGCATGCATTCATGCATACATACAGCGCCCTCCACTTCATGACGACGCACAGCACGGACATCTATCCTCATGCTGGGACCGGCGATGTGTGGGACACCCGACGACGACGCAGGTCTGAGTCCCTTCCGCAGTGAGTCTGGGATCGTAGATATTTAGATCGTGTAATATATTTATATAGAGTGTGTGGGTGTGTTTGTGTACACATATACATATATACATATATTTATACATACACATATACATGTACAGTACATCCATCCATCCATCCATCCACACATACATGCATGCATGCATTCATGCATACATACATACATACATACATACATACATACATACATACATACATACATACATACATACATACATACATACATACATGCATGCATGCATGTATAAACACACACACACACACACACACACACACATATATATGTTTGTGTGTATGTGTGTGTGTGTGTGTTTACAGACGGTATATATGTATATCAGATGTACGTTGCAAGTATGTGGTATTGATGATAATGTCATGGGCAGTAGAAGTAGTAGTGATAGTAACATTACTGTCATTATTTTGTTGCTTAATCAGTATGACCTTGGTCACTGGCTTCATTATCAGGCACTGTAAAGAAATGAAGATAGCGATGATAATGCAGAGCTTCTATATAGTTTGTGTGTTTGTATAATATGTTTAGTGTAGTATGGGATGCTAACGTTATTGCAAGAGTAGTGCACATCACGGTTGATGTTGAAGTAGACTGTGCATGTAGGTTGATGACTGGCCGCATGAGTCGGATATATATTCTCTATCAACAAACAATATGTACACACGTAGATACACACATACGCACAGATACACACACACAAACACACACACACACAAACAAACACACAAACACAAACAAACACACACACACACACACACACACACACACACACACACACACACACACACACACACACACACACACACACACACACACACACTCACACACACACACCTGTACCCGTAAATCCCCGTCTTGACAGCCCCTCCCCTCTCTCCCACAGGAACGCGCACGTGAGATACTCCCTCCCCCAGGACGTGGATCCGGCCCGCCACCCGATCGAGAATGGCGTTATACTCACTCCCTACGGACCTGTTGCGGCCGGGACGTTGCTGTCGGGTAAGAAGAATCTGTCTCTGGAGAGAGAGAGGGAATTCGATTTTTTTTTTTTTTTTGAGCTTCGTGGTATTATTCTTGTTGTTATGGTTATTGCTATTCTATGATTATTATTGTTATTATTTCCATTGTTTTTGTTCCATTCTTTCCATGTTTATTTGTATCCTTCGTTCCATTGTTTTGTTTCATTCTTTCCATGTTTATTTGTTCATTATTTCATTTCTGTGTTAAACTTCGATTTGCTGTTATTGTTGTTGACCGTTTTATTTATTTATTTATTTATTCATTTATTATTTTCTGTTTATCTGCGATTAGGAATTTGATCTTTTTTTTCTTTTTTTTTCTTATCACTGTTATCATTTATTTAACAAAATTCAATTTCCACTTTTTGGTGAATCTTTGTAGACTTAACGGATTAAGAAATTTATCCCATTAATATAATTACTGCAATGAATATAATTACTAGTGGTGTGTTTTTCCTTTTATTATTCTAACAATATTTACTAAATCACACCAAAAATGTTTGTGTTTATGATGACGCTAACAATAATAACAATAACAATGATAATGTTAATTTCTTCACATAAATTGTTCACGTAACTAAGTTCTCCACCATTTTTTTAAACAATTTTCCCCATGATTCCCGCAGGTATTATGGCTTCAGACAAGACA